GGTGACAGCTGCATTAGAAATTCTTGATGTGGAACATGGTATACAAATGGATTAAATAAATCAATAAAGCAATACCTTTAGTCCCTGTTAAGCATTCATTAAGATCTAGATCATAGGAGAGTAGCCCGTTGACTAAAAGTGGCCCAGTTGATAACCACAAGAGGAGATGTCTTTAAATGTGCTCTCTAGTTACCCCCAAAAGCAAGTTTGAATTTATATTTGCATGTTTCTACATGAGGCAGTAACACCAAGAGAGAGTTTTAAAAATAGACAAAGTCCAGTAGTCACCAATGTAGCAAACTTTCACACAAAAAGTTGCCTACCATCACTCTGTTTTACGTTTGGCAGCTCATTATTCATTATGATTTCAGCTGAGACCAAATGGATCCTCTTACTTGTACCACAGAGAGTCTGAATGGATGTGGGATGAGGTGAGAGTCTCTCACTGGCTGCAAAGGAACTATGTTACAAGGAATTGGCACACAGAGGTTGAGAAAGTATAACAGATTCTGTATTCTCAGCTTACCCATGTAACACCCAAACCTTTCTTCCATTCCCCCCAACTTCTCAGTGAGGTATATTGAGAGAGAGACAGAGAAAAAGTGTCTGATCCAAAGTCACTCAGTGATCTTCCATGGCAAAACCTGGATCTCCACAATCCTAGTCCCACAATCTATCTACTATACCCTGGAGGATCTGACAGGTGTTAATGGCTCAGAAGAAAAACGATCTGATGGAAACCCAAAGGGGGGAGGGGATTTTTTTCTTGAAAAGAAACCCAATCTGTTCTATCAAATGAGTGGAAAAGGTGGTTTGCATGGAAGAACCTGGAGAGAAACCCAATCTGTTCTATCAAATGAGTGGAAAAGGTGGTTTGCATGGAAGAACCTGGAGAGAAACCCAATCTGTTCTATCAAATGAGTGGAAAAGGTGGTTTGCATGGAAGAACCTGGAGGAAGAATGCAAGAACTGAAAACAAAAGATACTGGGATAGAGTTGATGGCCAGAAATAAATTAAGGACTTACCATTTGTTCTCCTCTCCTAAAACTGCTGGTAGCTCTTGCAGTGGACCAAGGTGTTCTCAGTCCATTAACTGTACAACTTCTGAGTGAGGTTTGTTCAAGATAAAACACCATAGTGAGATGCCATACTTTGCTTTAATTTCCAAGGGCCTTATTGAATAAAAAAGGTAGCACAAACCTTGTGTCTTCTGCCCTACTCCACAAGTTTTGATTATTAAGACTTCTATTTTATGTTTGTTCATCTGGATGTTACACTCATGACTCTCTTTGTGCTATCAAATAATGAAAGGATCTGGCACAACAGTAGTTATGGGTGAGAATTAGTACCTAAAAAAATCCTGGTAAAAACATCAATTCTCCTAAAATACTGAAGACTTGTCAGCAGTTCTGCCTCATTTAAACATGGAGGAGAAGTCTCTTATCACCAAGAAAATGATATAAGCATATCTGTGAAGCCACCAAGAGCCAAGCAG